GGGCTGGGAGACCCCTCGGTATACGCAGGCGAAGATCAACGAGCTTCATCTCGAGTACGCCAGAAGCTTGCACGACAAGTTTTGGGACAGCTACGTGTTCTATTCGGCTACTGTGGCATTTTGTTAGGAAGCAAACAAAATCGAAATGCCAATGGAGGACGGCCCGATGGTGCCATCGTGTGCAGACATGTTCTTCCAGAGCCAGTTGTCCGACGGCAGCCCGAACAGCAAGGCCATTGTTGCGGTCGCTGATGCGCCTGTGGCCCCTCGCCGCGATGAGAAGAGGGTGGCGCTCTGGGAGGTCCTCACGACCCGCGTGCGGCGAGAGGTGTTTCACCTTCTCCTCTTTCTTGCACTCCTCAATTTCCTTCTTATCAACTTATCAACCTAGCAAGTTGCTAGGTTGACTTCTCGCAAGTGAGCATTGCGAACTACTGCCACAAGACCCTCATGCTGCGGTGCATAGACATCCTGAAGGAGTTGCGCTGCGCGGCGCCGTGGACCATTGTGGACATTATACTGATGATGTTACCGCGAGCTGGGGGTCGAGGCTGGGCTTCGTGTTCTTTACTTCCCGAGGGGCTTCCAGTACTGAAGATGCCAGAAGGACGTGTCCGTGATCTGGGTCTGGACGTTGCGAAGACCATTGGGTGCCAAGCGGGACTTCAAGATGCTGATGCAGATGCGGCTGGAGCAGTCGACGAGGGTTGCGACAACATTGCACCGTCGCCGAAGCCGAAGGGCAGAGCGAGCAGGGGAGGCCGTGGCAGAGGGAGAGGGGGGGGCAGAGCCAATAGAAACGGGAAGATCATCAAATCCATTACCAGACGTGACAAGCAACGCCGTTCTGCACACGCCCCTGCTGATCCCACGGCTGCTGACTCTGCGGTGGACTACCCCACGCATGTGAAGCGGGTGCTCCACAAACTGACGATGACGTGCCCATCTCAGAAGGAGAAGATCTACAACTTCAAGCTGATTGCGTTATATGGCGCCCTGTCGGCGAGCAGGTCCGCCACGCTGACGATAAGAGGCAAGCAGCGTGCGATCTCTGGCTGGAACAGGCTTCGCGTCGCGATGAAGTCTGACGTGTTCAAGGCAGCGAAGCTGCAGCCACGCCCTAGCGACGCCGACTACACAGCTTTGACGACTGGGAACTCGAACCACAATGAGGACGAGTGCGATACTAAGGCCATGAGCGACGAGGAGCTGATGGATATGCTGCACACCATGGACAAAGACGCTGCAAACATCGTAGAGCTTATGAACAGCATCAAGGATGGGACTGGCAAGTTGATCCCCATCATGTGCAGGCCGTATTCTAGTGTCACCATGAATGCCAGCATGATGAAGACCCTCGGCGTGATCTCTGCTTCAGGTGGCGCTGCGGCTTCTGCGCGGGAAGCTGGAGGATTGCTGTCCCAGGGCGTGCTCGAGAAGACAGCCGATGACTAGTCAAAAGGTTGTGGCCAGATCGCGGCGCTCTGCAACGACATCAAGAAGGCGAAAGCTGAGCGCCTCGTTAAAGCCGATTCTCCTGTGGGAATTCTAATGGGCATGGGCTCCTCCGACGTCGCTGTCATATCGCTGAAGCTGGAGTCGTTCTGCTACATCACCGTATCACTTGGACAACAATCGGTCGGCGTGCGCGATGGCCCCACAGTCACAATTCAACCGTGCTTCCCGAAGTTCGTGACGGACACCCTCGGCTCGCTCGAAGCCATCGCCGCTAGCTCAGTCTTGTCCGAGGAGCCGCCCATGGAGATCAAGCGCCTCATGGACGCGGCACGGCCCCCCCTTCGAGACGGCGAAGCTGCAGGGGCGCCCTGGAACAGGATGATTGAGAAGCTCATGGGCGCGATCACGAAGATGGCGATGCACGTCGACAGCTCCCCGCGCGGCGCGTTTGACTCCGTCCACTCCAAGATGGAGCTGACGTTCGTCAGGGAGCGAGTCAAGAACTGGAAGAAGGCCAACTCCTCCTCCTCCTCCTCCTCCCTTCTCCTCCCGTCTCCTTCCGGCTCCTCCCCCTCCTTCTCTTCCTGCTCCTCTCTCCTCCTCTTTCTCCTCTCTCTCGTCCTCCACATCCTCCTCTCCTCGACCCTCTCCCAACCTGGTCTTCCTCCTCCTCCTCACCCTCCCTTCTCCCTCGCCTCCTCGTCCTCTCTCCTCCCGTCTCCTCCCGTCTCCTCTTCCTCTTCCTCCTTCTCCGGCCCCCCGCAGAAGCTCGGTCGGAATTTCTTTCCCTCGGACCTCCTCCACCCTCCTCCCTCCGTCTATCCAGGTGATTGCCGAGTTCGGTGCAGATCTGGACCCCTCGAACGTTCCGCTCGACCCCAAGGCGGATCTGTTCATGGCAGCGAAGCAGAAGATGGTCAAGCAAGCCCTTGAGATCTACGAAGCTCACGCCAAGGACCATGCGCTCACGAGCGAGTGCGTGAAAAACCCCCTCGGCAGCGCTCTGGGCGTCATCACTGAGCCTGCTGCTGCTGCTGCTGGCGAGGTCGCGCCTGGAGCCGCCAGCGAGCCTGGTGAAGATGATGGCGGAGATCGCGCGGTCAAGTGCGCTGACCTGATACAGGCAATCGCGCAGAAGGAGCTGCACTGCTCCGACAAGGTCACCGTCCGCGAGAAGAACCTCATCAAGGCTCGGCTGCAGCTGGAGTTCGCGCGGCTCGCGACGACCGCCGAGTTGTCACCGAACTTACTTCTTGAGAACGCTGGGCCTGGGGGCAAGGCTTCGGTCGCGGAGCAACGCCGCGTTGTGGTTCGCGCAGAGCCCGATGATATCAACGCGAAGCCCATCGACCTGATCGGCAGGGCTGTCGACGGCAATGTCGCTGCCTTCCCCCCGCGTGCCGCGCTGGCATGCCTCGGGGGCGCTGGCAAGAAAGGCCCAGAGCTCTGTTTGGAAGGATCTGCATACGTCAACGCCGAGCGCTCCGACTTCTCGCCAGGCTGGCTGATCCCCCCGAAGCCGAACCCTGCGCCAACTACGACGCCTGCTGCGAAGAAGCGCAGGGCGAGCACGAGCACTGAGGAGAAGCCCGAGGCCGTTGCCACGCTCTCCTGGGACACGGTCGACGCGAAGGTGATGGTCAAGAGGGATGGGGCCCCCGTCGAGCTGATCTACCAGCGCCCCGCGTTGGTGCCTTCGCTTGGCGCGCTGGAGGTGACGAGCCCACTCTACCGCGAGCGCCGCCAGCTGGGCGACACGAAGGCCGCCCGCAAGGAGAAGCGCCCCCTGCCGACCAGCGACCGTTTCTTGAACGGCTGAGGCGCCGCTCAGCATGAGGGGGAGAAAGAGGAGGAGGAGGGGGAGGGGGGCCAGGAGGAGGAGCAGAGAGAGGGGGAGGAGGAGGAAGAGGAGGAGGAGGAGGAGGAGGAGGAGGGAGAGGAGGAGGATGAGGAGGAAGAGGAGGACTACGAGTCCGCCGGCCCGTCGCCAAGTCACGCTTGGATGGTTTGCGTCTTTAGGCGCGCACGCTTGCGAGTGAGCTCGCCCGCAGAGATGAAATCATGACTCCTCAATGCTATCATTCTCTTGGCTCCCGCTTCTCGTCGCTGTCCTTTTCGTCCTCCTCCTCCTCTTCGTCGCCATCCCCCCCCCTGCCTTCCTTCTTTCCTCCTCCTCCCGCCCTCGTTCTTTCTGCCTCGCTCTTCGTCTTCCCCGCTGTCCGCGTTGCCGTCGTCGTTGTTCTCCCCCCCCCCCCTCGCATGGGCGCCGATCTTCCCCGCGTCCAGTTCGACTCTTAATTCCTCCTCCTTCTTGCCCTTCCTGGCCCTTCCTGGCGCCGCCGCCCATTGCTCGAACGGCCCCGTGGACTACCTGGGACCATGCCCTCTGCAATGCATGCATCAGCTGGCAACGAGCCACACCAAGTACATATGGGTGTTTGTTGCGATCACAACAGTTTAAGATGCACTTGTTGGCATGGCTCTGGCCCCAACAAGTGCGAGCCCCATGTTTGATTCATGTCGCCGTCTTACGCCCGCCATGGCTTGGAGCTTTAGCCACCGCATAGGTGCTTTTATTCGAAAACGCTTGTCTGATGGTGGTCGGCAATCTGGCCCTTGCATCGCCGCCAAAGATCAACCGCCTGCTCTGTAGAGGGCATGGGAGTAACATTCGATTAGTTGAGGCCCAACCCCGACAACGAAATCATGCCACGAAACCATAGAGATACATCCCCCCAGAGGGCGGAGGTGCTCGCGAGGGTGGCGGAGGACAGGCGCGCGCAGAGGCTGCCGCAGCCGCCGCCGCCGCCGCGGCTGCACTTGCGCCGACGGGCGAGGCGCCTGCCCCGAGCCCTTGGGCAGCGACATTTTCCAGTCGCCAGCGGGCAGCTTGCCCGGCGCGCCTGTCGAGGGCCGCCGCGCGCCCCAGGGCCCCCCTGCAAGAAACGGAGGAGGTTGAGGAGGTGTCCCACGCGCCCTGCGACGCGCCGGCGCCCACTCATGCAGCGGGCGAAGCCGCTCCCCAGCTGGCGAAGGGTTGGCGCGCGCGGGGCGGCGAGGCGCGCGCTGCTTGTCACGCCGAGTCGGCCCAGGGCCAGCGGGGCTACAGGTGCTCATCCTGCCGAGCGCGCTTGCGCACGCCGCGCAGGAGGTCCGCTTGCGGCGACGCAGGAGGGAAACGGAGGTGGAGGAGGCGGCGGTGGAGGAGTTGGTGGAGCTGCTGGCAGAGGGGCGGCGGCAGGTTTTGGCGCGCGCGCCCCAGGCGCGACCGCTGCAGGCGCCGCGCAGCCTGGCCCTCTGGACTGGGCTCGGCCCCAGGCCATCGTCGGAGGTGGAAGCGCTGGAGGCGTTGGAGGGGGCGCAGCGGCTGTGCGCAAGGGGGAGGTCGGAGAGGGCTGCCGCGTCCCGGGGGATGCCGGCGCATCCCCGGGGGCGCCCGCTGCCGGCGCCGCGCCGCCGCCGCCGCCCTCGTCTGGGGAAGCGCAATGGGAGTGGGACAGTCGCTGATGCCCCAGCCACGCCGCCGCGCGCGGTGGCCGCAGGAACGCAGGTCGTCCGCGGCGAAGCATCTGCGGGTGGCGCCGCCGCAGGGATCGCGCAGCAAGTGTCCGTCGATGCCGAGGTGCAGTCTGCGTTGCGCATCGCCCAGGAGGTCGCCGCTGCGGCCGCGGACGGGGCTGGGGGCGTTCCAGGAGCCACCGGAGTGCCAGCGCCGCCTCCGGAGCGCCGCCTCCGTCAGTGGCGCGCCCCCTGCGTCGCGCGCGGAGGGCTGCGGACCGGCTCCCGAGCGAAACGCATGGAGGCAAGCCAGGGCTCGCGCCTCGCGCGGGCACAGCGTGCACCACTGGCAGTGGATATACCTTCGCGCCGCATGCGCCACGGCAAGCACTGCGCCTCGATCCAGCAGCGGCAGCCCCGCCTGAGCCAGCTGCGTGGCGCGGAGGCGCAGGGCGCTGCCGGGGCCGCGGCGCCGTCGCCACTGGCTGCGGTGCTCGATGTCGGCACTGGCCCTTCAGCTTCGCAGCGGACCCAGCCCGTCGCGCTGCCCGACCTCCTTGCTGCTCCTCTGGCGTCTGCCAGCTGCCCTCCCCCGCGCCCGCGCATCTGGGCGCCGAGGTCGCTCGAGCAGCAGGTGGGCGGTGTTTTTAGTGCGCTGATTCGCCAGGCAGCGGAGCGCGCGGGCGCGGGGCTCGGGGGCAGCGCGGTCGAGCCGCACCATTGTTTATGCCGCGCGGCTCCGCAGCTGTTGCTCAGGGCCGCCCCAGAGGATTCCGCGCAGGAGCGCCCCGGCGCGCAAGCCCTCGGTGCGGCCAGCTCTCTTGCAGTCTGGTCCAGGACCTGCTTGTTGAGCTCGAGGCCGATCGCTCGCGGGCAGCGCCCGGCCCGCCGGCAGCCGCAGCGCAGGCAGCTATGATAAAGGTCCGGGACGGCAGCAAGCGTGGCGGGGCGGACATCCTCGTCGGGGGCGCTAGGGCCCCGCCTAGCGCCGAAGCAGATGCGGCGGTCCAGGCGCTCGCCCGCCGCGAGCCGCGCAGTCCCGCGGAGGAGGCGAAGCTGCAGGAGGCGCCCTTGCGGTCGCGGCCATCCGGACGAAGCGCAGGCCGGTCGTCACACCGCGCCTCGCGGGGCAGCAGGCTGCAGCCATCAAGCCTGCGGCCAGGCGCGGCCCTGGCGGATGGAGGAACGGCCGCATCTCGTTCGCGCATTCCGATCCTGATGGGCCGCGCACGCTTGCAGCGCGGTGCTCCGCGAAGTCCCCGGGCATCATGCGCCCCTGGGTGGCCTCTCTGTGGTCGGACGCTCTGTCGCGGCCGTTCTTCAAGGATGACCTGCGCCAAAAAGTGCGGCCAGCGCTTCGGGGCGAGGCGCTCCAGGAGTTCGCCATCGGGGCGTCTGTGCCCGACGCCGTGGGCGAGCGGCAATTTGGCGCTGGCAGGTCTGCAGGCGCGGCTGCTGAAATCGGACAGGTCCGGGCGGCTGCTGGGGCGCGCCCGAACGGGGCGCTGATCGGCTTGGACATCGCGAATGCGCCGGGGCAGGCGCAGTGGGCCGACGCTCTGCTTGCAGCGGCGGCCAAAGCACCGAAGCTCGCAGTTCTCATGGTTGTCGCGCTATGGGCCGGGGAGGTCCAGGTGTTCCTGCAGGGCGCCGTAGGGGCTGGACGGCGCCAGTTCGTCGTCTACGACAGCCATGCCCAGGGGGGCCCTGGCGGCCATCAGGCGCTCTGCATTGTCATCGCCGCTGTCTTGGAGGCTGTCGTCGGCGACCCGCGCATCGCCGCGCACCGCCTCAGCGCACTGCACTGACTGCGTGGACGATTGGATTGTCCAGGTGCCCCAGCCCGTGGCGCGCGCTCTCCTCGAGGTCCTCGCGGGCGCGGCTGCCGCCTGGAACCTGCCCCTGCAGCTCGCGAAGTGCACGTCCCACAGTCCAGCTCTGGCCAGCGAGAGCCTCGAGGACCTCCCAGCCGCTGCTCGCACGCTCGCCGAGAGTAGCTCCCACAGCCCCGGACGGGCTCGCACTCTTGGGGGCGGAGGCGCGCGGTGACATGGCGACGCCACTCTGCGCGAGCACTGCGAACGCCCTCCCCCGGCACGCAGCCGAGCGCCTGGACAAGGCGCGCCGCCTCGCCAACCTCATCGCGGAGATGGTCCAGTTCGCGCCGCCGGCCGCCGCGAAGCAGGCTGGCTTCGCGCAGCGCCGCGGCGCGGCCGCGCACGCGCTGGGCTGCGACGCGGGAGTTCTACCCTGCAGCATCTTGCTGCCGCGCGCCCGCGCCCTGGATCAGCGCGCCTCGCAGGCTGCGCTGCCGCGATCGATGAGAAAATGGGGATCTCACTGGGGCGGAGGTCGAGCAGGTGGGCTTGCCAGTGAGGTTCGCGGGCCTGCAGGTCGACGTGCCGTCGCACATCGTCCTTCTGGCGCGCGTCGCCCGGCCTGTGGAGGGCGGGCCTGCGGACTGGGCTGCCGTCGCTTCCTGGGTGACCGGGGGGTCCGGCGATGCCGCGGCGCCCGAGGAGGGCCGGCGCTGGGGCGGCGTCGACGGCGCCATCTCGGAGGGCGTCCCGGGCACGTTGCAGGAGCGCAGGGCCACCGCGCATGCGGGGCGCGGCCGGCCGAGCGCCCGGGCGGGCGCTGCCGTCGCTGACCCCGTCCGTCCAGCGGCTCTGGATCGCCGCCTGCGTAGCGCATGCCTTCAGCACTCGGCCCGCGCCGGGCACCTTGCGAAGCTGGGCCGCGCGTGGCCCAGAGACGGGGCGCGTCTCTTGAGTGCCGCAGGGCCGTCCGCCGGCACCGCCCTCGCGTCGGAGTCGAGCCCCCCGGGAGTGGCAGCGACAGGGAGTGGACTGGTGGCGCGTTTCCGCTTGGGCCGCACTGCCGGCACCGCCCCGGGAGCGACGTGCCAACGAGAGGGCGTCCTCTGCCGAGGCCTGCGGCGAGCTTCTGGGCCAGCACAGCGATCACGCTGTCCGGTGCGGTCGCGGCCCCTTCCGCAACCTCCGCCACGAGGGCATTGCATATGTTTTTACGGGGGCATCATGGCAGAGACGGGAGGGCACGTGCGCCGGGATGCGCTCGTGCCTGGGTCCCCCCAGGGAGCTTCGGAGGCGTTGCTCGACGCGTGGTGCCGTGGCGTTCCGGAGCTCCTGGATTGCCTGGTGGACGTCACCGTCCGGCAACCAGTGGCTGACCGCTGCCAGCCAGCTGCGCCCAGGGTCGCCGGCAGCACGGCGCGCGTCGCAGAGCAGGTGAAACGCGACCTGTGCCCGCCGGCGCGCGGCCGCTGCGTCTGGCCAGCGGCCCACGAGACCTTCGGCCGGTTCGGCGAGGGTGCGCGGGCCCTGCTCGCCCGGCGCGCTGCCGCGGTGGCCCGCCGAGCATGCCGCCGCGGCCGCCTGCCGGGCAACTGCCTGCGCCGCTGGCGCGCGCAGCTGGACGCGGCGCTTCTGCGCGGCGTCGCCGCGCAACTGCTCGCCGCTCGGCGCGGCGCGCCGCGCCACGCGCGGCGGCGAGCGCCGCCGGCGGACGCGCGCTTGCTGGAAGCGCGGGGCAGCTGAGAGAGGCGCAGGATTGAGAGGCGGCAGCAGGAGGGCGCTTTTGCATCCCAGCCAAGGAGCAGCGCACGTGACCGCAAGCGTTGCCACAGCGGCAGCAGGAGGAGGAGGAAGAGGAGGAGGAGGAGGAGGAGGAGGAACGTCAATCTCCCCTGCGCTTTCCTCGGCAAGTTGGCCTGTGATGACCCCGCCCGGCTGGGGTCCACTCTCCCCGCGCGCCCCTCTATTCAACGCAGTTGGATTCGGAGCGCAGGGAGTCAGCTCGGAGTCGCAGTGAGGCTGAGAGGGGTCCGAGGAGGAGGAAGAGGAGGAGGAGGAAGAGGAGGAGGAGGAGGAAGAGGAGGAGGAGGAGGAGGAGGAGGAAGAGGAGGGGCAAGGAGGAGGCGGAGGAGGAGGATCGAGGAGGAGGAGGAGGAGGATCGAGGTTGGAGGTTCGAGTTCCGAGCGTTGGCGTCTTCGGGCCGCTCGTTGGAGGTTTTCGGCCCTTTTCTGGGACCCGTCGGGCCAGAGGCCGGGTCCGCCCGAAGATCGGCCAGAGCACGCCCCAGGAGGGGTCAGGGATCGACGGGGGGGCATGGAGTTCGAACCGGTCGTCTGTTTGTTTTTCTTGTTTGCTTTGGGCAAGACTGGGCTGACCTGACCAGGTCGGGCGCTCCGCCTCTACAGAACTGGTGGGTGTCACATGATCAGTCATCCTTTGTGCGCGGCTGCTTTCAAATTTTCGCAAGCTGCGTTGCCTTGCCCTTCCCTAAAGCGTTTTGTTTTCCCGGGTACCCCCCTTTGCCGGACAGTCCTCTGCCATTGTATCCTCACTTTGGCCACTAGTTACCCTATCAGAGCTGCCCTCAAGGGCCCCCCTAGATTGGTGCAGATGTTTGTGCCATCAGCTGCGACCCCACTGTCGCCGAAACCGCCGTGTTACCCTTGCTACCATAGATGCTCAGTCCTGATGGGCATGCGAGGGTGACTTGAAATGTGTTGGTATGTCCTCGTTCCGAGACTCCCTCATACGTGGAGCAACGGAGACGGTGACGAAAGCGTGGTGCCGCCCGACTGCTCTTTGCCATCGCAAGTGTTTCTCTCACCAGTGCAAGGGATTCGGCCAGGCTTCGCCCCCTATGGTGTTCACAGGTCCTCGATGCTACGGTGTGGTGATCATTCCCGCCCTCCGTCTTCCTTGACATTCCTCCGCCTCTGGAGGCGCTGCGCGGGGTGGCTTCCCCTACCTTCTCCCGAACAACGAGCCCCCAGACCTGAGGCAACTGCCGCGCGGGGCATCTGTGGCTGTTTTCCCGAGTGCACACGATCGCCGCTGCGCGATGTACGACCCCGAACCAAACCCTCCAGGTCGGTTTTGGAGGTCGCCGCGAAGATCGGGGCGGCCACAAATCGGGGCAAGGGTTCTGTCAATGAGCGGCATGCCCCTTCCCAGCCTCGCCCCCTTTCCCGGTCCGCGATGCAGACGCGGCGCATACTTAACCACACAGCGACAGAGAGTTGCCTGTCTCTGCCCGCCAGCATGGGTAGTCATGTTTTCTTGGTTCGGGGTCCGTTATCAATCACGCAACCACGATCACCGCTGCGCGAGGCACGCGGCACTGCCCTTGGCATCGCTCGAACGTGTGCATTTTTTCTCGGCGAGGACCATCGAGGAGCATTTTGCTCACCCTGGGGGAAAAAACGCACGCACGGAACCGAAAAATACACAGGGAATGGACGTCCGAGCGATGGCGAGTGCCACCGCGGGCACAGGAGCGCCTGAGGCGGCGGGGTACGCCGCGTTCGCCGCCTAGCCGCGTGCGCCGCCGCTCCGGCAGGCTGGCCCCCGCCGCGCGAGCGGCCGCATCCCTCGGCGCCCCGCCGCCTCCGCCCGCGGAGGTCCTCCCGCGTCCCCGCCACGCCGGGGCCTGCTCTCCTGCTTGCCGCTCCGCGAGTGGGCGGGGGGAGGGGAGTGCGGTGCCCGGGAGGGGGAATGCGATACGCAGGAGGAGGGCTTGGTATCGCTCGGACGTGTGCACTTTTTCCTCGGCGGGGATTCTCAAGGAGCATCCTGGATCATCCTGCGAAAAAACTGCGCAGGAAACCAACAGGAAGCACAGGGAATGGACGTCCGAGGGGGGGGGAGTGCGGTGGCCGGGAGGGGGAAGGCGATATAGTCGGGCTGTTGCCCTGAGGAACCCTAAATAAGGAGCGAGGCCCCTTTTGCTCCCATAAGTTGAATTTCGATTTCCCATGGAAGACTTCAGGAAGACCTGAGGCAAGCAGGTAAACAATCAAGGAACGCCGAGCCCCTCCCCAACGAGAAGGATTCCTTCTTCAGCGCCCCGACTGTTCGCAGGAGGAGGGAGGGGGAAGCGGGGAGGAGTGGACGGGAGCACCCCCAGGACGCATCAACGATGCCGCGGTAACTTAGCTGGCGACGAACGGTATAAAACCAACATCTCCGCCGTCGTGGACGCCTGCCCCCCCGGGCGGCTGAAAGTTTACACCCTTACGGTGCCACGTGAGGGTATAAATCTAAAGGCTGCCGCCTCTGCCGCCGACCCCAAGGTGTATTGGAACGATGTTTGGGCGGTTCGCTGCCCTCTTGGACGTCTGGGGGGCGTTGTCGAGCTCTCTGGGGCGGTCGTGGGTACTTTTTGAAGGCTTCTTGCGCCGTCTTGGGGTGGTTTTGGGGTGTCTCTGGCATTCGTGTCCACGGTGTGAAGGCCGAAAAGTCCAAAACGCTTAAAAGAGCCCTTCCCGCGGGAAAAGAATGATGTTGGGATGTTTGGGCCTTTGTGGCGTCTCTTCGATCTTCTGGGGGGCCGCTTTGGGTTTTTTGTTGGACATCATGGGACCTTTCACAGAACTCGTGGACAGCAGCTTCGGCCGTTGTGGGTCGTCCAGGTAAGATGTTTGAGACCGGTGAGCCTCTCCGCGGCGGCTCGGCCGGGCCTGGCCCCTTCTTCGGCTTACGCCACACCGCCGACCCCTTGTTTTTTTCTGGCGCGTGGCGTGTGCGAGCAGACCTCCTCCTACCTCCTACGTCGTCTTACTCCTCCTCCTCCTCTCCTTCTGCTGATCGTCCGTCTCCGCCGGCAGTGTGGCCGTGCCCGCAGCGGACGACAGGACCAGCCTCCGGGGGGAGGGGTTTGGGGAGGGGGAAGCATCTCACACGCCGGTGACCCCAAGGGGTCGGCGGAATTCCCTTCTGTTTTGACGTATCTAAGTATTTGTGGGTGCTTGTTTGGATGAAGATCAGAAACCTGATTGGCATCGATGCCAACGGACTCAATACTGCAATGTTTTTCATGGGAGGCGACCAGAGTGGTGCTCAATTGCATTGGCACATCGCAGCTTTCAATTTACTTTACATCGGGCAAAAGGATTGGTTATCGATTCCACCGAGGTATGCTGCAGTCAGCAAGATCCCGTCTTGGGAGTTGTTTCACATGCAGGGCTTGCGCTTGGAACATATCTATCGTTGTACACAGCAAGCTGGGGACTTAATCCTTTTGCCCGATGCTGGGGGGCATGCGACATTATGTCACGGGTTCTCGGCTGGCCTGGGCGTGTTGTATGGTTGGCGAGATCCCCGAGCCAGACAAATGAAAACGGCCCAATCTGGGCTGAAGAAGGCCCAGGAGGCCCCTGACGCGTCCCAAACTGCTCCAAGGGATCCTCCAGGAGGACATCCAGGACGATCAAATTCATTGATTTTCATGGTGGCGGAGTGAGGGGATTGCGCTCACGCGAATCCATTTCAAGGCGTGCGCGTGTTTCGCTTCGGGGCAGGTAAACGTCGTCGCGTTTATCTTCTTTTGTTTCTTCTCTCCGTCCAGGGGGGGGGCCCGGCGGGGCCTGGCCGGGGGGCGGGGGCGGTCTCGCGGGGGCCCGGAGGGGGGCGCGGGCGCAGAGGAGAAGGAGGGCCCGATCGTGGGGCGGAAGCCGAGGCAGGGCTTAGGGGCTGGGACACGAGCATCGCGAGCGCGCTCGTGAGCGCGTCCACAATCCCAGACATGCGACGTCCTGAGAAAATCAGGACGGCTATTTTTCGTTGTTTTTTACATCTGAGGCCTTCGCCGGGCTCCAGGACCGTCAAAGAACGACTCAGGATGAAAAATCCGGTCTTGGGGAAAGGGTAGGGACTTCCGGGAACCGTGTTCTGAAAAAGTTACGACGTCGCCATGTGTGGGACCAGTCTCTCTGTCTCTCTCGCTCTCCCTCGTCCTCCTCTGCCCGAGCGGGGGCGGCGGGGCGGCGACGCCCCGCCCGGGGAGGGCCGCCATGGGCTCCGCCGCGGCCGCCCCGCGCGTTGCGCTCGGCGCCGCGGTGGCGGCGTGCCTCGCCGCCAGGGGTGGTGCTCGGCCCGGCGGCGGCGGCGCGAGCCTGGGCTCCGCTGCCCCAGCGCAGGCCCCTTGTCCTCCTCCTCCCCCCTCCTCCGCCTCCTGCCTCCTCTTCCCTCCTCCTCCTGCCTCCTCCTCGTCCTCCTCCCTCCTTTTCCTCCTCCTGCTTCCTCATCCCTCCTCCTCCTCCACCCTCCCTCCTGCTCCTCATCCCTGCTCCTTCTTCTCCCTCCTCCCTCCTCCTCCTTCCTTACTCTTCCTCCCTCCCCCTCATCCCTCCCTTTTTGCGGAAATCCGCAAAAAGGAATGTGGGGCGTGCAAGGATGAGCGCGCACGGCGCTGTCTCGTCATCACAGGACCAGATGACCCGCGCATGCACACGGAGAAGTTTCGGCGCGCCCCCGGAGTGTTCCCGAATAACGACGTCAAGTATGAGGTGAACAAACTCCGAGCGTCGCAATATGCCCGACTGCACCGGAAGCCGATGGTGCATGTCCCTGCGCGCGACACTCCGACGCCAGATGCTCTGCGCGAGCGGCCAGATCTGCCACACCAAAAGATGGCCTGGCTGCAACGCCACGACAAAGAGAGCGGAGACCTGCATGGTTTTTTGCCGATCGCGGAGGGACTGCCTGTGGCCCTCACCGATCACATCGACCGCAGCGAAGACAAGTACCTGCTTCGCGGACGCGTGGGGACCGTGCACTCATGGGTACGTGATGGCGACGAAAGAACAGGGCGCGTCTCCCGGGGAGGGTGACTATCTTGCAGAAGACGCCGAAAGTGATATTTGTCCAATTCGATGAGGGTCTCGATGAGGCAGGGAACGTAAGACCGTGCGCGTGGACGATAAAGGGGCTGACCACGCCGGGCCTGTACCCAGTAACTCCGCAAAAGAAAGATTGGTTCGTGGACAAGGGCCGGCCGTGCCCGCGTCTGAAAGTGAAGCGGCGGCAGTTCCCCTTGGCCCCAGCGTTTGGAGTCACGGCCCACTCAGCACAGGGCCAGACTTTTAAGCAAGGCGTCATCGTGGATCTGAGGATTGGCGGGGGAACGTCGCCGTTGTCGAGTTATGTGGCTCTGACGCGCGCGCGTCGCCGCGAGGACATGTTGATTTTCCGGCCTTTCGACCGCGAGCCGTGCACTCAGAAGGAGCGGAAGGGGCCCGGATACCTTTTACAGCTCTTGCGGGGCGATCCCAATGACCCCATCGATTGGAATGCAATCGAGAAGGAGTTCATGCCTGCAGGGAGGTGCGCGGCGTGCTCGTCGGCGAAGTACAAGAACCAGTATGCGCGCGGGCAGTGGAGCCGGGACGACGGACTCCGCGTGTGCACGGTGTGCTTGGAAGGCAAAAAGAGCATTGGTACGCCGTGGCAGTGCATGGAGTGCTTTTATTGGAAGGGCGAGAGCGCTTTCCACGCTTCCCAGCACCACAGCTCGAAGTTGACGTCACGGCGTTGCGTGGACTGCCCCGAGAGGCGAATGTGTTATGTGTGCGACGAGCGGAAGTACGAGGCAGCGTTCGCGGAGTTTCAGTGGGACAAGGCAGGAAACTCCCGATGTAAAGGGGGAATGTGCCTGGAGTGCGAGGAGCTGGAGAAGCACCTGAAGTGTTCGCGCTGTGGTCACCAGAAGCTGCCGCGTGAGTTTTCTAAAGCGGAACGGGTCAACGACGAACCCACATGCAAGGCGCGTGTGAAGTTGCTGCGAAAGGAGGAGAAGGCGCGGGCGGAGGCTGAAAAAACGGTCGTATGCTCAAAGTGCGGGAAGTCGAAGAACAAGGCAGAGTTTTCCAGGTACCAGTTGGACCACACGGACAGAGCGTCGGTAGTGTGTACCAGGTGCGTCGACACCGAGGCTGCAGAGCGGAACGCACAATCTAGGAAGTGTTCGAAGATTTGCGCGGAGTGTGGGAAGTCTCAGCGG